TGCTACTGGAAAACATACCAGCATACAACAATGGCAGAGCCTGACATGAACGAGCTGTCCCAATAAGACATTGCCATCAAGGGAGCGCTCAGGCTCTCACTACACAACACATTACAAGTACACAGACTTCCTTCTTAACCCACAATTAGCGTGGGGTAGCACCGCCACCATCCCAATCTCCAAGGGATTGAAACGGCAACATGGACACTGTCATGGGGAAGGGTGGAGGGCTGGTATAACCAACCGCCCTACGGGAGCCTCAGCCAGGGCCCGTACTCCATCAAAGCAGGAGCTGTGCAAATACATGGTGGTGCTGCTGCTGCCCACATGCTCAAGCTTAAATGATCTCAGGCAAAATGCACAAGACACAGAAAAGCAGTACTGGCCAGGGTGACACACAGGTGGCTCCAAAACAAAATGTGCTTAACTGTTCTCAAAGTATTTTTTATTGTGAATCTCACCAAGGATGTTCTTCCAATACTGTCTAGAAGTCAGTGCCTAGCACCTTCAAAAGGACTTAGAAGTATTTCTTCAAAGCACTTTTGTTAGCTTTATACTTCACATGGAAATGTAAAAATTCAGGCCTGGAAGGGACTATCAATCTGTGCAAACTCACTAAAAACTGGTATTTTAGTCCAGAAAGAGAAATTCATTTTGCTTCTTCTGCCAACCAAAAGCCACAAAACACGTATCATTGAACCGACCATTCTGCATTATCCCTGTTTCACAGTAAGGAAAACACAAGCTTAAATGATCAGCATATGATCAGCAACAGAGGAAAAGTCAGGATCAGTCCTGAAACTCTCAAGTCCCAACTCTAAAATTCCCAGTCCCGTGTTTAACGCTGTCTAACCACACCCTTTCAGATAACAGGTACCATTAGGGTGATGACTACAGACAGCTATATAAAAAGTAATCCAAGGTCTGCTCCTCTGAAACCTTACCTGAAATCCTGCAGGACATACCAATATCAATACACCTTCTAGAGCAAACCAAAAATACCATCTCTCAAGAAAGGTGAAGGAACAGGTCTCTTTAGTCCATAAAGCAGAGGTCTCAGAGAAGCCTATGCTAAGTCTTCCAGTATGAAGGACTAGCAATCATCCATTTTCCTCAGCCAATTTGAATTAAAAAAACAACTTAACTTTCATGAAAGACTAAGGTGAACCAGAAAGTTTGGGTAGAATTTAGTTCTCAGGATACTTTTGAAAATTAAACACTGGGGACAGTCTCTAAAAAGTATAACATAAACTGAATCTTAATCAGTTGTCCAGTGCTGACCCTGTATAGGTTCTGTGGTCACTTACAGGAAACACCATAACTTGATACCAAAGTTATTTTGGTCACAAAACTAAGATCTCAACCCAATTCTCTCTGGCAAAAATATTCAGGGAGTGTTGGTTCTTTTCCAATGAAAAAAACCTTTGCATGAAAAGACAGTTGTCATTCCCTAGTATCAATATCCATTGCCATGTAAATGATCAGGCAACTTATTAAAAAAAAAAAAATCACAGCCCTGAACTTATATTGAGGTATCTTTCCATTGTTGCAGAAGAAACGCTGCCTAACAAACTTGCTCCTATACTACAGTTTTCCTTACTTGAACCCCTTAAGAGTTAATTGATACTTGATAGCAATTAAGAGGAAATGCATAACCCAGTGGCTGCTGACATGGCAATTCCAATATCCCACGGTGTAAATGAAACAGGAACAACTTTGACAATGCAGATACTTACCCCCCCCCCCCCCCCCGAAAATAAACAAATTAAAATGTGTTAAGTTGAATAGCTGGAGTGTGCTGGACTCCTGCTTCCCAAATAGTCTGCAGGTCTAAAACATGTAAAGCTCCTCAAGGACCTATTTAATTACAATTAAGATTAATAACTTGGCTAACCGGATCAATTTGCAATGCATTAACAATTCTTAATTCTTACACAACTATAGATTCAATGTGCACTGTCCACATATATGGCTTTTTAAAACAAACAATAATAAAAAACCAAAAAACTTGTAAGGAATTTCATTGCTATCAAAATTAAAAAGCAGTACACCAACTCTGAATCCACAAAAACAGACGTCTCACCTACATTTAGCGTAAATCGGAAACTGGTGCTACTGCACTATTCTAGCCTAACCTAATGAACGCAATCTTACTGCAACTTCCCTGCAGGTTGTGAATGCTCACAGAACATTTTTATTTACCCACCATACTCTATTTCTCAAAGATCTTCTTCAACCACTGTAAATAAACATGGCCTGAAGTAGAAAGTTATCTCCTTGTATTGCTGTAGATTGTACTTTGGACAGATGCTTTTCCATTTGTAGGCCATACAACTCCATGAACTATGACCTTGTTCCTAAACTGCAATCCCACTGAGGCAAGAGACACTCTACAGCATTATAGTTGGACAGGAAATCCAGTGATGATATCAGAATGCAGCATGTTAGTTTGAAATAAAGAAATACTGAGGGAAGTGCAAATGGGAACTTCAGATCATAAATATACAACACTGGGCGAAAAGACTTCCACATCCTTAAGAGGACAGAGGTAAAGAAGCAAAAGCCAGACAACTACACAATTTTATTAAAGCAACAGGTTAACACCTTTATTTTTTACTTATCCTTTCCCACAACAGTCTTTTCCTTCCACTTCAAGATCATCTCAGAATTATAATCCACCTGGATGCAAACATTTCCTCTTCCCCCGATATCCTTCCCACTTCCCACTTCTGCTCCCCCCCAAGAGCAAATTAGGAAGAAAGTCTCTGAAACTTTAGTGTGTTGGTATTAGTGCTTTACATCACAAGATACCTTTAGATTTGTAAGAAAGTTGCACCAGCAGAAATTTTCCATGTTGGGTTGAGCTTAAGCTAAATGAAGTTTCATTTGGAAGGCCAAATCCAGTTAAGAAATTATCTAGGGTCTGTTAACTTCACATGATCACATACATCCAGAAGGTAAGCATCTATAGACTATTTACTTGCCTGAACTCACTTTGAAGTCACTGAAGTGTAGCTGAATTAGGGACCATGGTCTTCTCCACACTCCTGGGTCATTTTGTGTTAAAAAAAACCCAATAAAATGAAAAGCTGTATTTTAGCAAAAAAAAAATAATAAAAAGACCAACCCAAATTACCTGGAAAAGCTGTTTGCTTGCACAGGCTTAGCAAAGACTTCCTCAAATTTGAGAATGCAAGTCTATGGATTTCATCTGTTTAAAAAAAAATAATAATCTTCACTCGCTACCTGGAGGAGCTTACTGGATAGCACATTTGTTACCCTGTGTCTAGAGATGTAAGGAATTAAGATGACTTTCCTACTCCTAGCTGATGAATGCAGCTGCAAATAACAAATACAAAGCACAAATAACATTGTGTGTTTTACCTAGAACTGTTGGAAGATGTAGTTTCTTAAGATGGTACAAAAGATAAGTGTGCTTTGGTGTGCTTCTGTATGCAAGGGAATCAGATACTCAACATTAGCTAAACTCAGCTGACAATAAAAGTTTTTCAACAGTGTCTTTCCACCCTATTGAAATGGAATGCTCTTTACAAATTATCCCTATTCCTAGTGTTTAAAAACCTGCAGTACTTTAAGGCAGCAAGATCTGCAACTAAGGCTCTTATTTATAGGAGTGAATTTCTGTCATTTCAACCATATTCAAAAACATCTAAATGGCAAAAGGTAACATTTGTGTATTTGTGTTAACTTCCCTCTATTTGTAACACCAGCTTGACATTAACTAAAACATTAAAAGCTACTTTAACTCCTCTCCTGAGAAATTCACAGGCAAGACTGAACATAAATCAAGTTCAGCACAAGGATACGTTTGTTTTTAACCAGACTTGGAACAGGTGACTCCATCATTAAGTGCACCTTAAAATGTTACTACAGGAACATCTCACAAATCCAAGTCACCCAGATCTAGCTACCAGAAAGCTGAGAGGGCCAAAACCAAGAGACACTTTAAGAGCTTTAATGAGAGCTGTAACAAAGCGCATCTAAGTCCAGCACCTGGAGAAAATGCCTGCTCCTACACTACGTGAATGACTGGGGATATCAAAAAAGGGGTTACAAACCATAAAGAAAATTCAAGTTCAAGAGCCTGAGAAGTAAACAAAGATACACATTCCCATCTCCTCAGCCTACAGGCACCCAGCCCAACATACTTACATTCATGACCTTCTTATCAGCGTAATGGAGCAACTCCTTATGACTCCTTAGAGCTGCTCCACAGAAAATTTAAGACAGAAAACAACTTGCAGAAGAGAGAAAAGTAATCTTGAATTCCGACACCAAAAAGCAAAAAAATTGACAAAAACCAAGTTCTGTACATCACCCAACTACTAAAGAAACCAAGACACTGGGCAAGTCATAATTCAACACTACCTCGTTTGAGCAGAGAGATCTCAATTACTTGGCTATTCTGACTACTGAGAACTACAGAATCAGACCTAGAAGTACATGACAATACTTCTAATAAGTTAATTCTACCAACAATTTGCTTCAGAAGCAAGGGGGTAGGGGTGGGGAAAAACCCAACAAAACACACCTTGTGTGAAGTAAGTTCCCTGAATAAATTAAGATAGCATTTAAAAATTTCCTGCAGCATCTCAGAAGACTTGGGTAACGGTTAAGGCAGTTTTCCTCATTTGTTTCAGTAGAGGGAGCCAAAGTTTCATCACAGATGCAGCAGTACTTTAAACTTTCCCTAAAAAGTTACTCTGAATTCCTGCAACAGCACAGGCCTAAATGCTGCCAAACAAAGGTACTGTCAGCATTTTTGAGACTGAGCAGTGCTAAGTTCAGTAGGCTGGTAACCTCTGGGGTAAGAACAGGAAACAGAAAGACCTTAGAAAGGAATTGCAGAGATTGCTGTTACGTTTTAGCAGTTGACAGAGATAACATACTACACCAAGACCTGCAAAGTCCTTTCATCTTCTATGTTCTCCTTTGCAACTCAAAGAACTATTCCACAGATACCCACCCATTAATCACACACACACGTCAGGTTCAAAATTTATTTTCCATTCATTTCTTGCACTTGAAGTACTCTTCGATGACATCTTTGGCCTGAGACTCCTTGCCATAGTCCTGTAACACAAGATAACCCATTAATAACATACAGACCCATTCAAAATCTTACAACCTATTTTTGAAAGGACTACTGAGATTCTGACACTTCCTTGAGGCATTCCCAAGTATTCCCCAAATTCCAGACATGTAACTTCAAGCAATCTGCCAGGTGCTTTCCCTTCATTCTCTAATAAAAAGCTATTCTTACAGTCTAACATCCCTTGGTATGGAATCCAAACAAATGCTTCATTTCTGCTTAAACAAAGCCAAGTAAAGCATGTGAAACAATAGCACAAGTATGGAAACACATGCAGAAGGACTCAGCCTTTATTGTGAAGATGTAGCCATCTCTTGGGACCTCAAAGACAACAAAGTCTTCAAGGCTCGTACTGTGGCTTTACTTTACCAGTGTCTTTTTAAGATAATGCTCTGCAAAACATTTTCAAGTTGAGCAGACACATTGAACTGGCATTTTTTTCTGAAACAAAACTTCATCTCTTGTTAAAACGTCCTTCCTTTAATGCTTACTGGCAAGTGGGCATAGATACTTCAAGGACACAACCATTAACCCAAAAAATGAATATGAGTATTTTAAATAAACATGAAAGGGACTACTGCAGAACAGGGAAGCTGTTCACTTCCACTATCAACAATGGAGAACAACTGTTTAAAAAAAATAAAATCTAAGAACTCTATTTAAAGAGCTCTTATCTAAAGCAACGTTGTTTAGTGCTTATTTTCAGAAGTCAAGAAATAGGCTATAATTGGCATCATCTTACTTTGACAACCACACAACTGCAGCCCACTACTTTGCGAGGTTTTCCTTCTCTGTCAATCTTGCACAGACCAACCCATTCACCCAGTTTCTTGTTGTCATCAACCTGTGTAAAACATTGCATCACATTAGAACTAGTCACTTCTAGTATAACTGGGTTCAGCAAAAAAGCCACTGTACCAAGAAACATTGGGTAATGGAGAGATGCTTTCCTCAAATATCAGTTTGTGGTGCAGCAAAGTACCATCATCGTACAGCTTGTTAGTATTTAAATTTAAAGTCACAGTGAGACTCCTCCCATACTCCACAACCACTTTCAGCATTAATTCTATTTCTTATTATACAGGAATAAAATTCATTTTAACTTTGTAACATACCTGATACACATCCTTTGCCATTTACATCCACAGTTTTTGTACTGCTTCTACAACAATCACACAGAACTAAAACAATCTCTGCTGCTAAAAGAAGTTTTGCTTAGATAAGCCATATGTTCCAACACTCACCTTTATTAAGTTTATCTGATGCTCTGCACAAAGTGCTTCAACTAATTTTACATATGTGGGTTCATCACAATTTGAAGCCAGAACACAAAGATGGGCTTGGCGTCTAAAAAAAAAAACCAAAAAGCTAGAAATGTAACTTCAGATGCTGTTTAAACTTTAATAATCAAAACTGCAAAGAACAAAATTCAGCACATGCATTTCTAGACAACCACTTCCTAAGTTTCATTTTTGGTTCTAAGACACCATACATTTTTGAAATACTAACTATACTTTTGATACGTTCTACTACTTTTTTTTCCATATACATAATAAAACACTTGTACATTGTTGGCTTCATTATCAGATTCTATTCCAGTTTCAGAGGCTTCTAAAAATCCCACTAAATAATCTCCTAGCCATTAGAAAAAGGTGTAATGACTGAATAAACACCAGGTACCATAAAGAACTGGTGCCACTACTAGAAAGCAACCAAGTTACAAGTAGCTTTTTCTTGTTTATCTCAGATTACAGTAATTTAATATTAGAAGTGTAATCATTAAACGCTTGAATTTCCATGTCAAGTTGTTATAAGCTCTTCAGAACAATTTTTTCTACTTACCTTCAAAGAAGCTGTTATGACAGGGCCTCGTTTCTAATTAGGATCTTTGTATACTGTGGTACAATGTTAAGAATACCAAAGGGATACCTGACAACAAGAAGAGCTGTATAGGTCTTCTATGCTTAACCTAATGCAATTTGACCACTGCAAACAGTTTTCTCTATGGACCTCATCATGAGTTTCACCACAACACTTCAGAAACGGTTCCAAGCACAAACCATCACATACAAATGTATATAAACCTTGTACATACATTATCCCCTTAATGCACAGCATATGAAGTTCTAGCTGAACTCTACAGAAATCCTACAAACTAGTTGCCAGTCACCTAAGTTGTATTTCTCTTCCATCATTTGGTACCATGTCTTAGAGCTTTTCGCATACAGGTTTGTCAGACTGCTGTTATCACTCATAAAACGAGTGAAGGGGTATCCGACAAATGGTTAAGTCATCACCCAAACACTGTAGCATAACACTTAAGCACTGGTTATTCTATATACTATAGTATGTATCTATATAAAGACACACACACAGAGGTGTATGCATGTAGCCATATATATGCCCATATATATATATATATTACTTGATCCTATCAAGAAACAGTAACTAATTACTACGGTTGGCACATATATGACAAGTTTAATACTGTTTTGATATTGTACCAAAGAAACTATTTACAGCTGCAACAGAAAAAAACGCAGCTAACAAAACTAAAGGCAAACTATGAATTTCAGTTTTTCTTTACAAAAACTAAACCAACTCTTCCAGGTTGAGCCTGATATACTATTAACTCCCCCAATTAAAAATCTTAGAAAGTTTTGGGAAGAGTTTATCATTTCTTAAAACACAAAATTCTTGGGCCCCATATTTCCATGCCTACATATCACAAGCATCATTCCATTCTCTTCACAAAACCAATCCGCATGAAAACTCGATGGCACTGGGGTCACAAAAAGACAAAACCTAATACACTAGATACTGTTAATCTCGAGTCACTGAGTTTAGGATCTGTATTTTAAGATCACAGTTAAAGACCCCAAAATACAGTAACAAGAAACAAAACTTATTGGCAGAAAAACACATTCTTGCAAAAGCCTTTAACTAAGCATCTGGAGAAAGTCAACACGGTGTTCAGCACACCTCATGCGGTTTTGCCCTTCACCATAGACAAAGTGGGAAAACAACACTTACTTGTCCAAGGCTTTGGCTGCCTCACGGATACCACGAGCTAGGCCATCATGGATAAGTGCGGTCTTCAGCACTTCTTGCAGGGCGGTGTTAACATCCATTACACCTCCAGCAGTAATGCTAAAGAGAAGACAGATATTACTCTGATCGTGACGACCTCTATATATATAAGCCAAAGGTTCCCGTTCACCTGCAAGCATCCAATCATTAAAAAAATACCGAAGAAAAGCAATCCAAAGAACGAGACCAAATGAAATAATGAAAAATGAAGAACTTTAAAGAAGCTAGGAATTAAATCCTCCTGGCGATCCAGCCGGCTGTGCTCTCTCCACGCTCCCTCACCAAGACGGAAGCCCCGCACACAGCCGGACCCAGGCCCGGCACCCCGCCTCCCGCCCGCAGGAAGCATGCGGCAGCTCCACGGCGGGGCCTGCGCAGGCCGCCC